AATGGACTTTCATGGTGTTCACTAGCTAACGTTACCGTAGCATTAGAGCAGAGGCAGCTTGTTCTCATACGGTCGATCCCGACAGCAGCCATTTTGTATGTATTTCTTTTGCACATTGGAGAAGAGTGTCCATATATTTTCTTTTTGCGGGTCTGGAAGCCGTGGTTCATCCATGATTTACGCTGCGCTTGACTACCAAGATGGCGCGGATCACTTCCTGCTCGGACAAGTGGGAATAAAAAGCTCAGCTGCTCTTAAATCCTTTTTCAGCCGGTTGAGATTATCAGCGTCAGGTTTTGGTTTGATAAGTGTCACAGTGGATCTCTGTCTGTCTCTCTCTCTCTCTTTCTCTCTCTGTCTGTTTCTCCCCCCTCCCCCCGGTTTGAACAAAGATCACGCTCCACTTCCTCCCTGTTACCTTTTGACCCCTGGAGGCGCTGCGCTCCAGTGGGATGACGTCTGCCTGAACCAACCGGGCAGCAGAGCAGCTCCTGACTGTTTGACTCTCTGGCTCCCAGTGACTCTGCTGCAGTGACTCACTCTGCGGGGCCTCTGGAGGCGGTGATGGAGGCCAGGGGCCGACATGCCACTAACATGAGTTTGTGAGCAGGTGGCTCCGGGTTTGCAGCTGAGCTAACAACCAGGCTGTACTCATGTGGTTCTGGTTTCATGTCCTCCTCTGCCTTGTGACTGATGAGACTAATCAGGTGGATGTAAACACTTCCCCGGGATCGGAGCGCTGTGATGGATTTGGCACCGGTTCCCATTCGGCTGTGGAAGTTTCAGGAAGTAGATGATTTAAAAACTTTTCAGGGCGTCAATAGATTTTCAGCCTTGGCTTTCGAAGCGCTGAATCTGGAATCGTTTTCTGATGAAAATGTGTCAGAAAATGTTTTTTTTCAATCTTCCCTTTTTCCTGAGGCGAGAAAGTGGAAAGTGTCCATTTGAACCTGAAGCACAAAATTAATCGGCTCATCTTTAATTGATTGATTGGTTTGGATCTTATTTGTTTATTGATTGGTTTCTATTGGGTTTTATTTGGCCTTCAGGATGAAGAGCATCATCTTCCTCCTCTCCTGCTCCCTGTAACGCTGCGGTCAGGTTCAGGCTTCTGACTGAGCGGGGTGTGAATACTTTCTGGCTGACTTGCTGCTCTGCCGCACATATCAGCTGTCTGTGCAAACCACAAATTTACATACGGCAGGCAGGGTGATGAAAAGAAAAACCGAGTGAACCCCAAGTGGTGACGAAAGGAACTGCAGCTGGAGATCCACAGAAAGAATCTAAAAATCATGTTTGATTATCAAAATTATGACTTTGAATCTCATAATTTAGTTTTAATCTCATAATCTGGATTACCCCAAATTGCTTCTCTCTCTCTCTCTGCTGCAGTGAGAAACAATCCTAACATGAGAACTTCATCCTGATTTGTTTTGTTTTTATGTATTTATATTAACAGTGGAAGCAGAAACTGTTTCTGGTTTGTTGTGAAGTGAAATGAAAGCAGCAGCAAAATGTTTCAGAGGAAGAGGTTAGGAAACCGCTCTGCATCATCATCACCACCATCATCATCATCATCATCATCATCATCATCATCATCATCTCAGAGGAGTTAAACCTTCACTTCACAGAAAGACAAAACCTCATTTCCTGCTTCTTCCTCATTTCACGTCGTCTTACAAACCGCAGTAGATTCTTCAGAAACCTGAGAAGGTTTCATCTCAACTGGATCTGGAGAAACGAAACGAAAAGAGTCAAATCCAGAGTCAAATCCAGAGTCAAATCCAGAGTCAAATCCAGAATGTGATGTTTAGTTTCTGACTTTAGGTTTTTGTGTTTCTGCAGGTCAGTGCCAGACGTCAGAGTTCTTCAGCTCAGACCTGGGGGTTTGTGTTCCCTGCACTTCCTGCAAGCAGTACCCCAAAACCCCGTCCTGCAACACATGTGAGCGTCTGCGCCTGCGTTTGCATCTGCTGAATATTCTAGAATACTGTAGAATATTTAACTTCTGCTCATAAAAATCACTTAAGGCTCCTTTAATCACAACATTTTAGATATTAAAACAATATTTTTCACTGTTTTTGTTTTTATGGAACCCCATTTCTGCCATAAAAGAAAAAATAAAAGCTGTGCTGAATGTCAACATTATAACTGTGAAGCTCAAAAATATGATCTTAAATCTCAAAATTAACTTTGTATCCTAAAATTTTGACTTTTAATCTAATAATTTTGAGCTTGTATCTAAAAATTACATTTTAACCTCAGAATTATGACTGAATGTTAAGATTATAACTTTATATCTGCAAATTATGACTTTTGATCTCATAATTATGAGATTGAAAGTTGATATTATGGCTTCCTGTTGGGCTTTTATTTTTCTTTCATGGCAGTAAGGGCCTTCCGTAGGAAGTGTTTATATGTATAGAAGAGACCAGGTGAGAGCCGCTGCTCTTCCTCCTCTTCCTCGGCGTCACCTCTCCGTCTCGCTGCAGGTAAGCCTCTGGAGGAGACGCCACACGTCTGGAAGCTGGCCGCCATCACCAGCTTCTCGGTCCTCGGCGTGGTTCTGATCGGCGCCGCTCTGATCATCGGAGTCATGATGCATCGACGCAAATCACACAAACGACCTCTGAGAGGTAGAACCCGATTTTAAAAACTTTTCTCCTCCAGCTTGATGTGGGAAACTTTGAATCTCAGAAATATGAAACTGAATCTCAACGTTTTTTCACTCATGATCTCTGTGAGGTAAAACTGGGTTTTTAAAACATTTCTTCTCCATCTTGACGTGAATCTGAGACGACAGAGCCGTGACCTTTGACCTTGAAACGTTTTTAAATGAACATGAACAGGGTGTGAAAACTTCCTGCAGTTATCGGTTATAATATTGCGATGATTTGAGCTCAGAGTTTATTTTCTGATTTCTACAGAACCCATCGAAGAGACGGCGGGGCCACTTTACCAAGCTTAAACAGCCGAATAGGTATTATTATTATTATTATTATTATTATTACTGTTTGCACCGTTTTACACTGTAATCTCTTTACACTGATGCTACGGACAGTTCAGTGGTTTGTGACTCAGAACTTTAATCTTAATCTGACTCCAGGATGAATTTTAACATCTACTGCAGAGCAAATCTGTTTTACACAAATATCATGTAAAATAATCTGTTTTATATTCTGTCATAAAATAAATGTCACTTTACGCCTGAACTGTTTGGCGCAAAGGGCTGAGACGATAAACTAATGATCATGTGTCTGTTTGAACCTGTTTTTAAGATGTTTTTTAATCGGCGGGTTCTCTTGCGCAGCCTCATCCCACTCTGGAATCAGATGTGACCGAACCACGGAGCCTGAGGAACCTCTGGACGACGAGCCGCATCCCGAACCTCGGGGCTGCGGCTCCGGCTGCAGACGGACCGATCTTTATTTATTGGACTGTTGGTGAGGAGATGAGCTCAGTTCTGAACGGGTCCGGCAGACAGCAGGCGACCCGCTGAGCCTCTGCTCACCTTGTAGGAATAGTAACAACGTTATACGCACTAGTTTGGTATCCTGTCCAGGAAATGTCTGTCTTTATTTTGCATTAACTGAGACTCCAACCTGGAGGCCCTTGGTGGGTTTCCAGACGTTTGATTCCGTTAAGACTTCGACTCGTGTTCTGGTGTGAACTCCGGTGACGTGGCAATGCGATGCGATGCGATGCGATACGGCCTCTAACTGCACACGTGAAGAAGACATACTGTTCGGCACATTAAGGCCATTTGAATGTAGCGAGCTTTAGGAGAAACGTCCCCAGTACGCACCGGCTGGACTGTCCTCATGCACTCTGGGCCAGGCTTGCAAAGGGCTGACAGGCAGTAGCCCAGAGCGCCACGTTTAGGGGGCACCCCCCAAAAAGTTTTTTTTTTTTTACCTCATATTAAACGCAGGCGCTCATTTTGCATGTGGAGTTTTTTAAATATTGTTTTTTTTTTAATAGTTTGAGCAACACTCAAATATTAAGATGATGAAGTTGCATCTTTTTGGACCAACATGGCGCCCCCTGCCAGATGTTTTTACCCAACCAACCAGCAGTTTGTACCTGCTAATTTGTCAGTGTTTGTTAGAGTCCCCCAGTGGCATTTAAAGGGCCGGTGTTAAAAATATCCTGCTGTATCTTTCCATCATGTTACGTTTTCCCACGGAATGTTGCTTCAATTCTTTCTTGCATGTTTGTGAAATCCTTCAATCACCATGGCAACCATTCAGCTGTTAAAACACCTGGGTGGACCTAGCCCCGCCTCCTCCCACTCGGCTCCTTCAGACTAGCCAGCAGCAATTAGCAAACACGTCTTATAGGAGCTGCTGCTCAGAGCAACCCTGGTAAAAATGTTGTTAAAGGGGAGCCATGTTGGGATGACTTCCTGGAGGCGGAGCTTCAGAAAGAGCAGGAGCTTCTTAAAGAGACAGAGGCCCAATTTCAAGGCGTTAAATCAGGAAGTCCAATTTCTTTTAATACCATTTTTATACCAACAGGAGTTAGTTATTTACTTACTAACTTGATGATGCTACGAAATAGCATTATGTGGCAAGGAAATGCATAACCCTCCTTTAAATTCCTTTTAAGACATTCACAGAAACTTTCATTAAGAGAGAAATAAATAAAATTACATCCAAACTAATTATACTATTTTTGAGTTATTTTCATGGAGCAAAATAATCCCTGACATTCCTTAGGGGGCGCTGTATTTTGTAATTTACACCTGTAACAGATTTGTTATTTTTATTATTTTAATTTTTGGGGGGTTTGGGCTCCAAACCGGTCTCCAGCCCAGGGGCCCCTATTCCTCTAAATCCGGCCCTGTTTTCACTGTTACTGCATCTCCAGAGACCAACAGACTGTTTGTTAATGACTTTTTGGCTCGTTCCAGCGCTGTTGTTCTGTTTTTACTGTTCCTGACTGTCAGAAGAGGCTGCTCACATCCGCGTCTCGGCGCTTGCAGGACAGGATGCGTGAAACACTAGACACTCACTCCAAACTGCTAACATGTGGGAATGCTGCGAGGAATGCGCTGCGGAGCGGGAAATAACCTACAGTGTTTTAGTTGGAGCTCCTCCTCGCGACCTGGACGCTCTTCCCACATGTTTCTGTGACTTTACGGCTAAAAGCAGCAAAATAAACGTGTCAGAATGGATTTATTCACTTCTATACTAGATTTTCTATCGGATTGTAACAGACGTGGTTTTTAAGAACTGTTGAGCTAATTTCAAGGTAGTTTTTAACTGCATTGAGGAATCACTTCACAAATAGTTTTTTTATTTTTTTTTAGAAGATGTGTATATTATTTATTTTTATAAGCGTCTCGCAGCGCAGCAACACACCGACTGTGAGGAGAGAAGTGCATTTCAAAGGGACTCCAGTGAAGGTTTTTAGTGAAATGCTGCAGAGCGATAACTAACACTTTGCTTTTCTTCTCCTGCTCCGTTTCTTCCTTACATGCACTGGCTTCTCTTACTTCAATCCTTTGTGTAGCAAATATATTTTCACAATAAAACTGACAACTCTGTGGATGTTTGTTGTGTTTTCATTCAGAAATATTTAAAGTTTTGTGCTGTTTGCTTGGATTTTTGGACTGTTGGAGGAAACGGCATGAGGCACAAACCTCAGGCAGGGATTCGAACCCAGAACCTTCCTGCTGTGCAGAATGACGTTTCATTTGTTCATATTTAATATTTTAGCATAAATTCAGTTTCTGTGAATATGGGTGGTTCTAGATGGGGCCCAGCAGGGGGCCAGAGCCCCTCTGCTACAGAGATAATACTAGATTCATTTCTTATGACACATTCTGGCAAAGAAACTGTTGCTGATTGGTTCCTTGGACTAATTATTTTTTTTATCCTCTATGTTTTACTTTAACAATAAAATAAAAATTAAGCTTCATTTTGAGATCTGGAGCCACAAGAGGCTCTTTGTCTCACGTCATTTATTAAACAATCATAAATACGAGAAAAACTTGAATAATTATAATCATAGTATGATAGAAACTTTATTCATCCCTTTGGGATTTACCCTCAGGGAATTTGTAGTTCAGTCTCCCACAGAGCACCAATACATCAAATTCTTAAACAATTTTTATTTTTTAACATTTAGCCTGATTCTATAGTTCCTCTATTTCTATTGTACTCCTGTTGGCCAGTGAGGAGCTGAAGAGTTGATGAGGTTGAAGCACTGATCATTCAGTAAATGTTGCTTTTATTAGATATTATTTCATGTTTCTCCCACTGAAGAAACATTAAATGAGGTCCGAACAACATTTTCATCAGAATTTACAACCTGCATATAGTATAATAATAATAATAGACAGTCATAATGTCCCAACCCAACGCCCAGTCCGGACCGGACTTCCTGTCCCCAGGACACATTTATATAAACAGGAAGTCGCATCATGAACCAAAGAGTCTGAGTGTCTGTTTCCAACGGCAACAGGTTTCTGAGGTATTCCATACATGAGGTCAGAGGTCATCAGTCACATATAAAGGCAACAAATATAAAAAACTGAATTAAAACAGTTTAAGAACATTTTTGGTTGAGATCAAGTCAAAAAATGTTTAAAACATGTAGAAAAAACAAGAAAACAAAGAAGAGCTGAAACTTTCCCCAATCTTATCATTTAAAGTTAAAATAAAAGGAGCTCATGCTGGGAAAGGGTTAACCCTAACCCTAAACAAGTTTATGCTCCCATAATGCATCAGGATTCAGCTAAAAAACACGTCTGAAATGGCACGAGTGACGAAATAAATCATTCAGGTTTTCACCGATACCTTTACATCTCTGGAAAAGACGACATAAAAAGCCTAAAGTGAAACTAAAGTTTAGAATAAAGGAGAAAATGGATCAATTCTCCTGATCCTCTTTAAAATAAACGTCTGACTTTCTGTTTCCCTGGGGAATAATTATGACGTAACACAGAGACGACGTATGGATGAGGAGCCATGTTTCTTCTGGCTCTGTGCAGGAAGAGAACTGCAGCTAAAAATGGCAACTCAGTCTCCATGGCAACCATTAGTCGATGTATACCTGCTGCCAGTATCAATACGAGAAGTTTATTACAGATTATCACATTTCCTAAGGATTTTTATGCATCTTCACCAGAGATCAGGTTGATCCTTCAGAGGCCGCCATCCTCATCCTCATCTTCATCCTCTGACTGATGTTTTAAAGGCTACATGATGTTTATACAGCAGTCAGAAACCTTTCTAGTAAAATACAGACATAATACATCCATTTAGGCAGAAAGTACGACGGCGAATCAGAGACACTGCAGATGGAAGAAAGGAGCAATTTCACACCAAAAAGTCAAACATTTTCAACTTAATCTAAGGAAAAACATGAACATTTCTCAGTTTTCTCTAAATTTGTGATTTTTTTTTCTTGCAAATTTCTGATAAGTTTTCTCATCGTTTTTCACTCTGCAGCGACCCTGATCCGCCGTTTTAAAACGGTTATTGATCTCAGCAGAACTGGTTGACATTCTGGCTCCGGATCTCATCCAAACCCAGGAGGTTTAGTGGCTCTGAATGTCGTTTCTAACAGATAAACAGAGTTTATAGTTTTATTTTGGTCCATCAGGATATGAAAACGCTGCTGAGTCAGTCCCACTGATCTGGATTCACGCTGAATAAAGACAGAGTTCTGTTACCTGCTAACCGGACCTTCCAGAACCAGAACATCTCTGAACACCAGGGAGCTCTTTCTGAGGAAATACTGCTTTACAATTACTGATAATAGGATAAGAATCATGAACACCTCATGCAGCGGGTCGGCCCGTTGCGGCGATGCGTCACAGCGTCCGCCATGTTGGATGTGGAAACCTGCCGTACACAATGAAATGGACCGAACTTTCCAAAGAATCACTCCCAAAAAAATTAAAAAAGTTTTAAAAGTTGACAATTCTCAACTTTTGAAACTCAGAATTTTCCTTATTTTTTGTAGAAAATTTCCAAGACTTATCTAAATTTTTTAGTTCTTTTCTCAAATTTTCGACTTTTGAAAGTCAGAAATTTTAAAGTTTTTTTATAGAAAATTATAGAAATTAATCCAAAAAATTTCAGAAGTTCTTTTCCCTCCACAAATGTTCTTGAATTCTGTTCTAGAAAATTTCTGAGTTATTTTTCTGAAATTAAGATTAATCTCAAAATTTCTCAGTGTTTTCAATCAAATCAAATCAAA